CTTTTTCTTTTTTTCAAACACAGAATTGTTTCCAAAGGGAATCTCATCCTACCCTTTGGAGTCCTATAGGAAAGGAGCCTGTGGTTGGAGTGGGTTAAATCTGGGGGCTCAGCTTCCCATTGTCCCCAGAATCACTCCCAAGTACCTTGCTACAGGCTCCAGGACTCTACAGGGCCCACTTTAAAACTATGAGGAGAAAGGAACACAGTAGTCTCTTCAACCCTCCAACAGTCCTCCCACTCACCCCAGGGACCAGCCAGGAGGGCATAGCTCTGCCAGTTCACATGTGGGGAGGGAACAAAGTCAAACAGCCCTTGATCACAGTGGGCCGGGAAGGTATAACTGCTTTACGACCAGGCACACCAGACCCCCACATCCCCAAAATCACCCTGTTCACAGTCAGCGAAGATGGCTCTACCAGCACTGGTTCCTTCCTGGATCAGCCCCAGACAACTTTGCTACCAGAGCTAGACAGAACTTTTGATTGCCAATCTCAAAGTGATCCAGCCTCCTTCTCCAGCCAATGGTAAGAAGGGAAATGTTTGAAATACACCGCAGTATGGACCTTGATCATCCAAAACAGAAGGACAGGATGCTCAGAAAAGAGACAAAAAGATCAGCCACGACATAGGCCCCAGGGATCACCCAAAGGAGTCGTCTAGACTCAAGGTGGAGGCTCTGAGGCTCAGAAAGGGCAGTATTCGGCCAGAAGTCACACAGCACCTAGTGTCAGAGCTGGACCAACAGTCCAGGTCTCCTGGAGGCCAATTCAAAGAACTCCCAACCTATTATAAAGTTCAGAATACCCCAACAGGACTCTCCCAGGGAAAACCCCCAACTTGCAAACTCAGAATAGGAGATCTTGGTGGCACTGGGTGGTCACAGAAAGGAGTGTTTGTTTTGGTTTCCAGATCAACACTTGACAACTTTGCCCTCTGTACAGTCCTGGTGACCACATTTCCCACGTGGTAAAGAGCTGGTTGAGCTGAAGGGAAACCAAAGAAGTGGTGAGCAGGGTGAGGGCGGGGGCACCTGGGCCAGAGGCTCTGCTTTAGGTTGGTGCAAAGAATGGGATGGATACTGGTGACGTCAGATCATGTCAGACAGTACTCGAGTGACTTAAAACTTGGAAAACAGTGCCTATGTAAGGCGAATGGTTAGGCAGAGCATAGTCTATCATCCAGTAAATGTGATTCAGCAGCAATAAGGAACATTCTACAGATAGATACATGCTACGACATGATGAAAGCCCAAAACATTATCTACGTGAAAGCAGCTAGACATGGAAGAGAGCCTGTTGCAAGACCCCACATCTGAGTCATCCAGAAAAAAGCACATCGGCAGAGACATGGGGCAGATCTGTGACTGCCTAGACCAGGTGTGGAAGGGAATTGCCTGGAAATGAAGGAAATTTAGATAATGTGAGTGTTCTGAAACTAAACCCTAGAGATGGCTGCAGGACTCTGAATTTTCTAAAATCACTGATATACTTAAAATGGTGACTTTCAGACAGGCCAATTATGCCTCAATAAAGCTGTGAAACTATGTCATCTTTGGAACGGTACAGGTGTATGTGGGTAGAAAGCAACCATAGTGGGACTCCAAAAGCCTGTAGCTTAAAGAACACTGGGCTATGTATCCTAGCTTGCCCTCTGGGGAGCAAGTGGGGGTTTCTTCAGTCCCCTACATCGATCCCAGAAGCCCCGGAGCCCTTCTTCTTCAGTCATGGCCTATCTACACCACACCGCTGGGGTTCCAGGCTAGACACCCTTGGTGGTCTACAAACCAGACAGATAAACACCTTGGTCTTACCTCCTAGACTGTGACCTCTTATGGCCAGGGTACCAAAGGTAGGCTGGCAACTCAGATTTAACATTTTATTTATTTTTATTTTATGTGTACGAGTGTATTGTCTGCATGTATGTAAGTGTGCCTATGTCATGCAATGCCCATGGAGGCCAGAAGAGTGTTGGATCCCCTGGAACTGGAGTTATGGATAGTTATGTGCTGTCATGTGGGTGCTGGTAACTGAACCCAGGTCCCCTGTAAGAGCAGCCAGTGCTCTTAACCACTGGGCTATCTCTCCAGCTCCCATATATTTTTAATTTCATGCTTTGAAAATTCTGGGGATGGAACCAAAAATCTCTTGCAACCTAAACAAGTGGTCCTCTGTGGAGTTTCAACCCCAGTCCAAATTCTGATACCTATATTGTCAAGTCTGGGCAGTCCCTTTCAGATCACATGGCCCAGAGATTTTTTTTAAATTGTTTTTACCTCCCTCCAAAAGGAAAAGTCTTGAGAAGCTCCAATACAGCAAGTGAGAAAAGAATTCTATAGACTCAAACATGTAAATTATTTGTTCTGGGTTCAACTGAGGCAACTGAGGGGCTGTTGTTGACCCATCACTGACAGTGGGCACCATGGGTGACAGCTGTACAGTGAGTTTAATTCTATTTCCAGTTCTGGCAGAAGAAGGTGAAAAGTAGTTTGCCACATACAGGTGAATAGGCGCTGCCAGAACAGCAGAAGCAGCTTGCCTGGTAGGCAGACAATAGTGTCCAAAGAGAGGCTTTACTGGTGGAATCTGGTAGTCAACATTAAAAACGTAAAAGTGTGTGAGAGCATTTTCATGACGGTGCTAACATCTTGATGTATTTTTTTTACTTTTTAAAATATTTTATTATTTTTTTATTTTATGTGTATGAGTGTATTGCCTGCATGTAGGTAAGTGCACCTGTGTCCTGCAATACCCTCGGAGGACAGAAGAGACCGTTGGATCCCCTGGAAGTGAAGTCACGGACAGTTGTTAGCTGCCATGTCAATGCTGGGATTCAAACCTGGCTCTTCTGCAAGAATAACGAGTGTTCTTAACCGCTGAGCCATCTCTCCAGCCCCCTTTTTTTTTCCATTTTTAAATTACTTTTGTGTGTGTTTGTGTGTGTGGATCAGAGGACAACTTACAGGAGTTGGTTCTCTTGTTCTACCATGTAGGTCCCATGGACCTACAAACTCGGTTCTTCATGCTTGGCAGCAAGCACCGTTATTCACTGAGCCATCTTGTTGGCCCTTGCGTATATTTGTGACTATCCAAGGAACTTTCCCTAAAACATCACGAGGAGGCCAGGTCTTTGAGGAGCACAACTGTAGTCCAACCACCTTGCTTTATAGACAGTGAAACTGAGGTCAGGGAAGGCAGACTACTCACTCTGGAAAACATCAAGGTGAGCCTAGAATCAACTTCAGAGAAGCTAGTCTTTGGGATTCACAATAGAGAAGGAGGGTGGCACTCGCAACAGAAAGGCGGGAAGCAAGACATCCGCATCTCACCTGTCTCAGCAGGGCAGGCTCATTCCAGGACAGTGCCAGAAGGTGACATCACACCCCACACCCTGGGTGCAACCTGAACAACTCATTGCTCAATGCCAACCCGTCTCCCTCTAAGCTTGGGCATGATCTTTCTATCACCTTAGTAGCCAGGGCCAAAAAAGCATACACACAATTAAACAAATACAGTGCAAGCCTGTGGCATGACTACATAGTCAAGGGTGGCAGACAGGAGGGCCAGCCCATCCCTCCTCTCGTTTCACCATAGAAAGCAAGTAAGAGCCTCTTTCCCTGGCCTGCCCTGATGGGGATGAGCACCAAGAGCATGAAAGGCACAGGGACATTCCAAAATCTAAAAAAGATAAGTATCCCAGGAGAGAAGAGCATCAGCCAGCAAGCCAGGCCCTGCACTGGGAGAAAGCAGTTTGAAGTCACTGCTTATCTTGGGTAATAACACCTATCTGATTACTTTACACCTTGCAAACAGCAGCCTCATCCCACTCTCCCCTGGAGCACTGTGACTTGAGTTTACTACTCCCATTTCCCTGATAAGTAAACAGGTTTCCAAGTCTCCCCTTCAGGTGATAGGAGCTAGCACCTGAATTCTTCCCAGTCAGTAACCAGCTCCAGCAGGAGGATAACAAAGAGACTCAGGCTCAGCCAGCTCCCAGGGAAGATTGTAGGGATGGAAGGAGTGGTCCCACTCCCTTCAGAGGCAGTTTCACATCATTAGACAGGAGTCTAAGACCAGAGGGCCCCTCCTCCCCCACAGACCTGAGACCTATAGCTGACAGGCAGACCCTCTCCTGTGTGAGAAAGCTGAGCAGACAGTATTGGCAGCCAGGCTACAGGCAAAGAACAAGATCAGTTCTACAGCCAAGGAATCTATGCTGCACAGAAGCACACCAGCCAGTCCTGCAGGCAGTCTGCCCCAGACCTCCAGAGAGAGCCCATGGTCTGGTTCCACCCAATGCTCAGTCCCCCAGCCCAAGGTTCTCTCTTCCCTGGGGGCTTTTAGTGCTGAGTTCATGGGACCTCAATAAGCCATTTGATTGGGGGGTGGGGGGGTTGGAGAAGAGAAAGTATTTTGCAAAGGCTTGTGGCTGGTTCTGATTCTGCAGGCCAGGGGGTTAGGCCTTATAGACCTGAAACAAGACAGCTAGGGACATAGATCCATCCATTTCCACAAATGTGATGGCATTAAATTCAAAGACTAAAAAGACAGCACTTAAGAGTTTCTCTTTACATCCACTACGGGGAGTTTACCACCTACATCTATGGGGAAATATCTTTATCTGGGCTGGAAGGCACACAAGGCCAGGACTCCAATCAATGGATCAAATTTTTACTTTCACCAGGATTAGCCAAGCCTCCTTGAGCAAGTCACTTAGCACCTCTGCACCTCAGTTTCCTCATCTGCAATATGGGGACGAGGCTGCCTCACACTGCATTGTCATGTGGACAAAATGAGATCACCGTAACCGCTGCTGGTTATTGCGTCCCTAGGAAACAATGTGCCCGGTCGGGGTACGGCGCCCAGGTCGTCCCGCGCCTGCGTTCTGGGATTTGGATTAACGGAGTCTTCCCAGCAGTTGGAAGCCCACCTGGCAGGCCCAGGTGCCCGCTCTGCCCCGGCCCTGGGTCCCGGGAGCGGCGGGGGGAGGTGACCCACTCACCTCCGCTTGTACTCGTCCCGCTCGCGCTTCACCTTGGCCAGCACGTTGTAGAGCGCGCGGATCTCGGGAGTGATGGTGTCTATCTGCACGCCTACGCCGTCCGGGTGCACCCACGACACGCCGGGGCCCTGCACCGTCTCCACGCCGCCGCCGCCGGTGCGCCGTACCTGCGTGTAGCTCCAGATGGTCCCGGGCAGGCGGCCGTAGTGCTGCGGATGTGAGCCGCCGCCGGGGGGCAGGCCGAGAGCCACCGCGTTGGCGTTGGTGCCGGTGGCCGCGCCGACCGCCTGTGCACCCGGAGCGGCCGGCCGCAGCAGCTCGGGCCCAGTCTGCACGGCCTGCTCGCGGGAGAAGGTCTTGTAGCGCAGCCGGCGCTCGCGCTCGCTCTGCTGTTGCTCCAGCTGTTTCTCCAGCAGCCGGTTACGCCGCTCCAGCTCGTGCACTTTGGCCAGGAAGCAGCGGAAGCGCACGTTGAGCCCCTTCAGAAGGTGGATGTTGGAGCCCAGGTCGTCCCGCAGCGCCGCCGTCACCGGAGAGGGGCCCGGCCCGGCCCCGCCACCCCCGCCGCCCGGGCAGCCGCCGCCTCCGCCTCCCGGCGGGCAGCCGAAGGCCAACGCCATCTCCCCGAACAGCAGCGAGTTGACCATGCGCCGGCTGCGCGGCTCAGGCCCCCGGGCCCGGGGCTCCAAATGCGGCTCCAGCTCGGGGCAGGGCTCCCGGCGCGGCCGGGCCAGGGCGGGCGCGGGCTCCAGCGCGGCTGGTCGGTTGGGTCCAGATGCGCGCCAGATGCGGCCTCCACAGTCGAGGGACCAAGGCGAGGGCTGAGCCGCGATGGGGGACGCGGTGAGGACCGCGGTGGAGGCGGCCGTGGAGGTCGCGGAGCTGTGCGACGCTGGCGAAGGTCCGGGTATCTCGGCCGCGGCTGTCAGAGCTGCTGTGGAGGGGCCACGGCTGCAGCACGCAGAGGACTCTCTGCCGGCACTGCCCCGTCTGCGGCGGGCTCCGCCCACTGCAGGCGCAGGCCACGCCTCTGATGCGGAACCCCGCCTCCTCCCAGGCTGGTTCTCTGCAGAGGCAGGCGTAGGCCCCTCCCCCTGCCGTTACAGGCCACGCCCTCCCAAGTCCGTCCTCGCCAGGCTCAGGCCACGCCCCTACAGAGACCCGCCCTCAGCTCGCGCAGGCCACGCCCCCAGGCTCGCCCTCTGCAGGCAGAAGCCCCGCCCTCTCCACGGCCCCGCCCCCTCCCTCTGCAGCGTTCCCCGAGTTTAGGCTCCGCCCCCGGGTCCCCGCAGCTCCGCCCCACCCCTAGGCTGCGCGACTGTCGCTGCGGCGTAGTTGGGTTGCGGCAGCTCCGGCTCCGCCCATCAACCCGGCCGGGCCACGCCCTCCCCTGCGTCGGACGCTGCTGGCCTTGCGGGGTTCCGAGCGTCTTGTCCGGAACGCGGTGGGCACGCAGAGCTGCGCCAAGCACGGCGCCACAGCAGGGGCTCCAGCCTCTTAAAGGAGCCGGCAGCCCGGTTACGCTCACTTCCCCGCTGAGGGTGTCCCTCCTCTACCGTGTCTGCCCAGCGGGCTCGGCTCCTCAGGGCCCGCCCCCACGCCCCAAATTCCCCTGCCCCAAATTCCCACGGATGCAGGTGACCATGAGACCAACAGGGTCAGAAGGTGCACGGATGCCCACCCCTTATTCACTCGGGGGCGGCCTAGCGGCCCTTCCAAAATAAAGCAGACCTTCCGCCCTCGAGTCCCCCACCCGGCGGATCCGGGGCTCCTTACCTCCTGCCCCCTCGGGGTTCCGAGTTCTCGGCCTCGGCAGTGAGGAGCCAGCGGCTGGTCCCCAAGCAAATGGAAATGCAGGGGTGTGGGAGATGCTCATCCTGAGCTGCTACTGGAGTCCAAGACTGATCACCTCCCACCACCACATTCTCACAGGCTGTGATCCAGCTGGGTCCAGAGCTAGGCTTTGATCAGTCATTTCATCCGACCACCTTACTGCATCGTGGGGGAGCACCTCTGGCCCCATTCATTCATTCATTCATTCAGTGTCTTCATACCCACCACCCTAAAATCCACGGTCTCCTGCAGTCTCCAGGTATCTCCTGAACTTGCAAGCATTAGCAAATGTCAGATACTTACTTAGTTATCATCCCACTTTTACAGAACAGATCGCTGAGAGCTGACCAACCATCTCAAAGCCTGCTCTAACCAGCCTTCCACACTACTGGTCTTTGGTCCTCACCACAAACTTGAGAGGGAAGGGACCCCCACCTCTGGACGCCTGTGATTTGCGGCTGCACTTAACCGGATATGTTACCACAGTATGCTGTACAGTCACCTTTTTTTTTTTTTTGCATTGCCATTTAATGTTTGTCCTCTTACTAATTTGTCTGTCTTGGCGCTTTGTCCGGCTATACTAGACTCTCTGTGATTCAGTCATTGATAAAAATCACAGATATTTCCATATCACTCAAGTTACTGTAAATAATCTGGGGCACTAAGCTGCCAACACTCTGAAAGTCTTGTTGGGCTTATCACAATATCTGTTTGTTTGTTGTGGTGCTGGAGATAGACTCCAGGTCCCCCCCCCCATAAAGGTTTTTTTGTGTTATCCCAATAACTGTTTGTTTTTTTGTGTGTTTGAAAAGAGCCCCCGGGCCCCCCCCCCCCGCCCCATGCTAGGCAAGTCTCCTACTACTGAGCCATGTCCTCAACCTGAAATTTCATTATTTATTTATTATTTATCATGTATGTATGTGTGTGTGTGTACATGTGTGAGTGCAGGCACATACATGCCATGGCATGCTTGTGCAGGTAAGAGGACAACTCTGGGTGTCAGTCCTCACCTGCCTTGTTTGAGGCAGGGTCTCTCATTCAATGCTATGTATACCAGGTAAGCTGACCCTGGAGCTTCTGCAGAGTAGAGTCTCCTGCCTCCTTCCATCTTGCTGTAGGAGCACTGGGATTATAGGCATGAGCTACTACATCTAGCTTTACATGGGCTCTGGAGATTTGAACTCAGATCCTCGAACTTGTGCAACAAGCACCTTATTCACTGAACCATCTCCCTGACTCTCATTGTTTAATGAACTAACAAAGAAGCATAGGTGACTGTGCTGTAAATTTGCCTTTTAAATACTTCAGTGTCTGTATTTAAAAACTGTTTTTGTTGTATGCATTCTTAATGCATCACAACATGTTTCTTGTTTCTGTTTTTGAGACAGGGTTTCATATAGCCCAGACTGGCCTTGAACTCTTTATGTAGCTGAAGATGACCTTGAATCTCTGATCCTCCTGCCCCTAACTCTCCAGTACTGTTATTACAGGCTTGCAACACCAGCCCCAGCTTATGCACCAAGGCCTTGTGTATACTAGGCAAATGCTCTACCAACTGAGCTACATCATAATGTATTGGTCTTGGTTTGGGGGTGGGGTGTTTTTGTTTTTGTGGAGGTTTTTGGTGTTTGTTTTGTGGTTTGGGGGTTTTGTCTGTTTTGGGGTTTTTTACTGGGTTTTTTGTTTTGTTTTGTTTTTTGAGACAGGGTCTCCCTGTAGCCCCAGCTGGCCTGGAACTCACTATGTAGACCAGGCTGGCCTTGAACTCACAAAGATCCACCTGCCTCTGCCTCCCAAGTGCTGGGATTAAAGGCGTGCACCACCACACCCAGCCCATAATGCATTTTTTTATTTAATTTTTTAAAAATTTTATGTGTATGCGTGTATTGCCTGCATGTAGGTAAGTGCACCCATGTCATGCAATGCCCACGGAGGTCAGAAGAGGCTGTCGGATCCCCTGGGACTGGAGTTATGGACAGTTGTTAGCTGCCATGTGGGTGCTGGGATTCGAACCCGGGTCTTCTGCAAGAACAACCGGTGTTCTTAACCGCTGAGCCATCCCTCCAGTCCCATGCATTCTTTTTTAAAAATATTTTATTTATTTTATGTGTATGAGTGTATTGCCTGCGTGTGTGTGAGTGCACTTGTGTCGTGCATTGCCACAGAGGTCAAAAGAGGGCTTCAGATTCCCCTGGAACTGGAGTTAGGGACAGTTCATAGCCACCATGTGGGTGCTGGGAATTGAGCCCTGGTCCTCTACAAGAGCAGTCAGTGCTCTTAACCCCTGAGCCATCTCTCCAGCCCCACCATAATTCATTCTTATAAATCATTTTGAGCAGGACTGCTGACTTCATCAGATATCTAAGAGGTCCATGGCACAGAAAGGGTTAAGAAGACATGCCTGGGAGAGGCTCCCTGCAGTCTTTTCAGGAAAGTTCTGTCTTGCCAAGTTACCCTGGAGTTGGGGTGTCCCTCTTGGAGAGGGACAGCCTTGTCTTGGCCACTGAGGGGCTTAGACATCCATGATCCTGGGTGTACTCCTGCTTGGGCACCTGTCCTGCCCTGGAAACTGAGGAAAGTGCTAGAAGGGAGCTGCTGGGATGCCAGGACCCTCCTGAGTCAAGGGCAGGGTGTGAAGGAAGAGTTGGATGAACAGGCCAGAGCTGAAGAGGGTTACAGAAGTGGTACCTGAAACTGAAAGGTTTCAATAGATCCCTAGGGATGCGGTACCTACAAAGGAGATCCCTGGGGGGCAGCTCTGCAGCAACATGCATGCATCATGTCTTGCTCTTTGTGTGTAAGGTGAAAGGGAAACATACCTACGAAACAGCCCTCCAGCTGAGGGACTAACAGCCTCGGTTTGGCAAGAATTAAGGGGTCCCCCAATACAGACTTTTGCCCAAATGAATTTCCCCACCCTCCAGCCCAGATAGAGCTGGATGCCACTGAGGCCCCAAGCCTTGCTGCCAAGCGTCAGCAATGCTCCACAGACGCCAGCTAGTATTACCATAGCTTCGCTTGTTGATTGGTTCCAGGCACCAGGAAGCATCTTCCACAACCCCCCATCCAGTAGCCCTCTCCAGTGACTGAGTTCAGACTGCTGCCAAGGGAAATAAGCGATTCCCTCTCCCCTGCCTCCTTCCACCACCCCCAGGCTGCAGTTTCTAGAACATTCCAACCAGGCTTCTTCTCAGTAAAATGAAAGGGTACAGTAAACCACAATGGCACCGAGGGGAAGGGGGTGGCCAAGAGTCCTCAGGGTGCCAGATGGAGCAGCACTGGCTAGTTTCCAAGATGCCCATTGCTCCTACCCCAAGAAACAGCGATGACAACAGAAGCCCCCCCCAAAAATTGTCAGAAAGAGCAACTTGGGCTCAGCAGTCACATCCTTCCAGGGACCTCCAGGCTACACAGGACTTCAGTTGTCTGTCGGCTCCACAATTATTCTTGTGGATTCACCTTCCTCGAAAAGGGTGTGGCTCTCATTAAAGTCAGGGGGTCAGAGTGTCCCACTGGCTGCCTTGACAGGGCTAAGTTTGGTCAGTAGCCTTGAGGGGCTCCTAAGATTGCTTCAAGCACCTTCCCAGTGAGGGATACTAGCCCAGGAATCACTACTTTATGCAGCGTGGTTGAGAGCAGGGAATCCAGAGCCAGACTCCATAGATGATTAATCATGGGACTTTGGGCAAGTTATTCAACCTTTCTGTGCCTCAGTTTGACCTTCTGTAAAGTGGGATGGTGGCAGTTCATAGCGTTCCTGTGAGGGCTGAGTGACATGCCCTCCCAAATTCCTCCCACCTCAATACATGCTGGGCTCTGTCCTGGGTGGTGGGGAGCTCTGTGACAGGCCACCAGGGCCTCCAGGAGGCTGCACCGGGTCACTCCAAGGAAGCCACAGGTTTGGGGGACCACCTTCTCAGCCTCACTCCCTGACTCCCACATGATAGGCATCTATTGAATGTACCTTTCACCTCAGTGACTTCTACATCATGTATTAAAGACTGTTCTTAGAGATGGGAAAGAGACACACAATTCACAGCACAGCTCAGCTTTGAATCCAGCCTGGACCTCCAGTCAGCCCCTCCGGCTCTGACTGTAGCCCCCTCCCACGACATTTTAAAGGGACCC